CAGTATCACACGAGTAGCAGTGCGATATGGCTGTATATCAGCACTGTTGAGAGGCGTGCTTTGGCATGAGGCTGCACCAGTGCTGATATGCAGCCATATCGCACTGCTACTCGTGTGATATTGTGTTTATACAACAGTTCGACGACACAATCGTGTATATAAAACAGAAAATCAAACACAGAGAGTCTAAAAATCTTTTGTATTAGGAACTACTTTCTTCCGCCATTCACATCTGCAGCTGATGTCAGAACAGCAGAAGCCGTTACTATTTCACCAACGTCACTTTAGAGCTAGTGTTTGGATGATTCTCTATAGCGTAATTTCTAAAGTGATGCTAAAACAGCTGATTTTGCTCACATTTTAAGATTATAATGCTGAATGTGACATGAAATGCCATCCGTCTACAGAGATTTCTCCCTACAGTCTATTACAATCTACAGTATTTCTCTGATACCATCGGTATTGTGACGAGTGCCAGGTGTCCCAACGTTTACCCGGAGACTTAAGGTATGAAAAAAAGGAGACAAACTATTTAGCTCTTCCTATTTATGCGTTTCTCCCAAGTGCTGTCGACTACATACATGCCAGCCAATGACAATGAGTAGGCAAAAGGAAATAAAAAAGACACTCAAACATCTCATCACAAAGGTAAAACAACAACAGAGGAAGTCCTCTTAAAGGGGACATGACAGTTATACACAATGCATATCAAACATTAAGCGACCGTTACAATATCACAATAATTAACCCCGAAAAAAGCAGCGCAATCACTACCAGACTGCTGTTGTGTTTGCGATAAGGAGGGACAAGGCTGAATCCAGCTTCTTATTCGCAGCTATCCGGTCCACCTTAAAAACCGTGACTCTTCCATTTTTCAGCTTCTTGTTCGCGTTTAAGAAAACACACAGTTTTAATCTTCTAAGCAGGGGCTTATTATGTGGTCCTGGCGCCATCTTGTGCATAGACAACGTCAACCTTTTTTGACTAATGGACACCGATGTGCTGTCTCTCAGAAATTACAAATATTTTAAAAGAGCCACTATCCTTATGAATAAACTGCATAGTTGCAATCTAAAATACTACATTCTCAACTAAAATAGCCTTAAAAGTACATTGTGTTGCCTAACAGCAGTAATATTTGTAGAGTGTCCTTTGCTTGTACGTGGGCGGAGTAATACACAAAGGTGAAGCGGCCTTTGTGTGCTGTTACTGGCAAAATATCTCACGCCTATCAGCCAATCAGATTCAACAACCAGACAGAACTGTTGTATAAATATATATATATATACACACACACACACACACACACACACACACACACACACACACACACACACGCACACACACACACACACACACACACACACATTTTCTAATGATGCCATTGACCTTATTTTCCTCGGATGTTGGTAACATTTTGAAAATATAGTTTTCTTCATCTCTCTGTGAATATAGGCAATGTATTTGCAGTTAAACAAAACTGATTTTCTAAAAAGATATATTTATTTCACAAAAAATTGTCACCAAACATATTGAGAAATTGAAAGAAAATACAATTAAATTCAAGCAAAATAGTAAAATAAAAATCAACCTACAAAATTTCAATTTTTTTCTACTTTTCTTGATTTTTCCTCTTTTTAAAATTTGTATTTAAAATTTTTCTATAACATAAATTTGTCTGTACTAGTTTTTGGCCCATTATTGTAAGATATTATGTAAGATAAACTCCAAATTTGGCTTCAGCACGGACTAATCTAATGTAAATGTTCGAAAAATAACAATGTAGAGCTTCCTATTCAAAATATGAATTTAAAAGAGGAGGCCAACACGGGGAGAATATGCAAACTCCACACAGAAACGCCAACTGACCCAGCCTGGACTCGAACCAGCGACCTTCTTGTTGTGAGGCTACAGTGCTAACCACTACATTGTTTTTTTTTATAACATTAGGCTACATTTATATGCTAATTGTAAACGTGTTTAGGAACGGGACGCATATTTTCGACATGGCTGGAAGACAGAAACACGAGAGCACGCGTTAAAAGAGCGAAAGAGAAGAAGAAACGTACTAAACGCTCCCCCTCACGCAGCGCTGCAGGATCTCAGTGCTGAGAATGCATGGATGGATGAGTGGATGGATGAGTGGATGAAGGTCTACCGCTAAGCCGAGGATGCGGGTATCACGCTGAGGGTAAGCGCTTCACACTTCGGCTCTGACTCACATAGACAGCCGTGTTTTTTTTCTCTTTCTCCATCCTCTCGCTCCGCCTCATTGGTGCTACCCCCATTTCTCTCTCTCTCTCTCTCTCTCTCTCTCTCTCTCTCTCTCTCTCTCTCTCTCTCTCTCTCTCTCTCTCTCTCTCTCTCAGAGCTCCAGGCCAGTCGGTCTCCAGCTCTCCATCGCGGTCTGCGCTCCTCTCCTCCGCCGGTCTCCGCGTCTCCTCTTCCCGCCTCCTGAAGAATGATTACCGCGGGAGGAACTTTCCGGCGCGCGTGAACAGGGAGGAAAATACAGCAGGATCATACAGGAGCCATCGGAAAGTTTGAGCCAAGACAACATTTCCAGACTGGTGGGTCTCTGGTGGCTTTATATTTCCGGCTGGTTTGCTTGCTCTGATATAATTGCTTGAGTTGAGCTTGATCACAGTTACAGTGATTACGATAGTAGTGCAGTTGATACCTTAACATGCTATTTAGATTAGATCGAACTTTTAAAATGTAGATTTGAGAGAATTACCTATTGCAACAGTGCAGTGTTATTAAAATGTTCTTAAATGACACTTTTAACCAGTTAATTAAGGTGGACATTTTGCCATTGTATTATTAGATGTTCAATTTGTATTATTAACTTAATTTTTTTCTTATTCAGTATGTCTGTGTTGTTTCCCTGAACAGTTTTATTTCTATTTTATTTATATAAAGAATCAAACATTAAGTTCAAATATCGAAACATTTTTTAAATCAAGATGCATTCCCATGATTTCTTATATAGCTTGTTCTGAAAATGTCAACAAATTAAGCAAGTTTTTGCATGAATGAATAAATTGCCAATTTTCAAGTTATTTTTCTTACCTGTGCATTGGCTGAACTCGCTTAATTTTAATACATTTTCACAACACAATATAATTAACAAGATAAATGCTTCTTTATTTATAAATGTTTAGATATTTGAACTAGAAACGACAAAAACAAAAGTAGGAAAAGCTTTTTTTTTGCAGGGAAATAGAATTAAAATTGATTTATTAGATGATAAACCTCAATTTTGCTTACTCAATATGTTTGTCTTGTCTTCTACAAATTCTGAAATCAGAAATTATTTGAGAAACAATATTTTACAGGTTTTTATTAAGAATAAAACCTATAGTTCAAATATCCAAACATTTTTTTTAAACAAGATGCATTTCCATGATTTATTATAAATGTTCTGAAAAATGTCAAAAAAAAAAAATTACTTGATACAAATAAATAGTTGCCAATTTTCAAGTGCACTGGCTTCAAGCATAAACTTGCGTAAATTTAATACAATTGCACAACACAATATAGTTAATAACATAAACACATCTTGATTGAAAAGTGTTTCAATATTAGAACTGGTTTCAGTGTTGTTTCAGTAATGTTACAGTATTAGAACTGGTTTCAGTGTTGTTTCAGTAATGTTACAGTATTATAACTGGTTTCAGTGTTGTTTTAGTAATGTTTCAATATTTGAACTGGTTTTAGTGATGTTTTAGTAATGTTTCAATATTTGAACTGGTTTCAGTGTGGTTTCAATAATGTTACAGTATTTAAACTGGTTTCAGTGTTGTTTCAATAATTTTTCAATATTTGAACTGGTTTCAGTGTTGTTTCAGTAATGTTTCAATATTTGAACTGGTTTCAGTGTTGTTTCAATAATGTTTCAATATTTGAACTGGTTTCAGTGTTGTTTCAGTAATGTTTCAATATTTGAACTGGTTTCAGTGTTGTTTCAATAATGTTTCAATATTTGAACTGGTTTCAGTGTTGTTTCAATAATGTTACAGTATTTGAACTGGTTTCAGTGTTGTTTTAGTAATGTTTCAATATTTGAACTGGTTTCAGTGTTGTTTCAATAACGTCACAATATTTGAACTGGTTTCAGTATTTTTTATTAATGTTTCAATATTTGAACTGGTTTCAGTGTTGTTTTAATAATGTTTCAATATTTGAACTAGTTTCAGTGTTGTTTCAATAACGTCACAATATTTGAACTGGTTTCAGTGTTGTTTCATTAATGTTTCAATATTTGAACTGGTTGCAGTGTTGTTTCAATAACGTCACAATATTTGAACTGGTTTCAGTGTTGTTTCAGTAATGTTACAGTATTTGAACTGGTTTCAGTGTTGTTTCAATAACGTCACAATATTTGAACTGGTTTCAGTGTTGTTTCAGTAATGTTACAGTATTTGAACTGGTTTCAGTGTTGTTTCAATAACGTCACAATATTTGAACTGGTTTCAGTGTTGTTTCAATAACGTCACAATATTTGAACTGGTTTCAGTGTTGTTTCAATAACGTCACAATATTTGAACTGGTTTCAGTGTTTTTTATTAATGTTTCAATATTTGAACTGGTTTCAGTGTTGTTTCAGTAATGTTTCAATATTTGAACTGGTTTCAGTGTTGTTTCAATAATGTTACAGTATTTGAACTGGTTTCAGTGTTGTTTTAATAATGTTTCAATATTTGAACTGGTTTCAGTGTTGTTTCAATAACGTCACAATATTTGAACTGGTTTCAGTGTTGTTTCATTAATGTTTCAATATTTGAACTGGTTGCAGTGTTGTTTCAATAACGTCACAATATTTGAACTGGTTTCAGTGTTGTTTAAATAACGTCACAATATTTGAACTGGTTTCAGTGTTTTTCATTAATGTTTCAATATTTGAACTGGTTTCAGTGTTTTTTATTAATGTTTCAATATTTGAACTGGTTTCAGTGTTGTTTCAGTAATGTTTCAATATTTGAACTGGTTTCAGTGTTTTTTATTAATGTTTCAATATTTGAACTGGTTTCAGTGTTGTTTCAATAACGTCACAATATATATAACGTTTCAATAATGTTTAGATATTTTAAGTCGTTTTCAGTGTTGTTTCAATAACATTTCAACATTTGAAGTCAGTTTGCTATAAAAGTAATACAATAGAGTGATGCTCGTTGAAAGAGTGAAGCTCAGATGTGTTCATTTCTCCTAATGCAGAGTGATTTATTTCTATATCCATCACATATATACTACACTTCTGCTACATGTGTGTTGTCCAGCTTTTCTTTGCATTGGATGTCTCTCAGGCTGCTTGAAGGCTCGTTCATGTTAACGTGGATGTTTGTGTGATGTAAACATGTCTCCCAGGTCACGAGCTGTCAGGCTTATACTCCAGAAGCTTCTGTAGGCTTGGTTTGTTGTGTGAAATGGCAGAGGTTCTCAGTTCATATGCTTCTAGGCTGGACTATAGATCATCACTCATCATTGTTAGGAATGTTATAGATCTGCTGAGGATCTTCTGTTTAGCTCAGATGACTGTAAATGAGCTGTGTTTTAGTGTTTCGGTCGAATACATAAATGTCACTTTAGACGCTTATATACTTACAATCAACACTTTCTACTGCTTGTTCAAACTACTTAGTTGACATGAAAATGTGTTGGGATAATATGAAGGACACTGTCAAAAATGCTACAGTAAAACTTTTCATTAATAGATACACGTTTCATTAATAGATACAGTTAATAACCGTAAATTGACTTTCCCACAATTCCCTGCATGATACTTCACTTTTAATGCATTTTGCTGACCTTACTGTGGTTCTATGAATTTTATGTTACATCTAATGTTGATGGCGAGGCAGTGGCGCAGTAGGTAGTGCTGTCGCATCACAGCAAGAAGATCACTGGGTCGCTGGTTCAAACCTCGGCTCAGTTGGTGTTTCTGTGTGGAGTTTGCATGTTCTCCCTGCCTTCGCGTGGGTTTCCTCTGGTTTCCCCCACAGTCCAAAGACATACGGCACAGGTGAATTGGGTAGGCTAAATTGTCCGTAGTGTATGAATGTGTGTGTGAATGTGTGTGGATGTTTCCCAGAGATGGGTTGTGGCTGGAAGGGCATCCGCTGTGTAAAAACTTGCTGGATAAGTTGGCGGTTCATTCCACTGTGGCGACCTGGGATTAATAAAGGGACTAAGCCGACAAGAAAATGAATGAATCTAATGTTGTTGATATATAATATTTATTACATTTCTCATCACGGGTGGCGCGGTGGCTCAGTGGTTAGCACTGTCGCCTCACACCAAGGTTTCCAGTTTGAGTCCCAGCAGGGCCAGTTGACGTGGGTTTCCTCCAGCTTCTGAGGTTTCCTTCACTGTCCAAACATGTGCAATAGGTGGAGTGAATAAGCTAAATTGGCTGTAGTGTATGAGTGTGTATGTAAATGAATGTGCATGGATGTTTCCCAGTACTGGATTGCAGCAGCAAGATCATCCGCTGTGTAAAACATATGCTGGATAATTTGGTGGTTCATTCCGCTGTGACGAACTCGGATTAATAAAGGGACTAAGCTGAGTATGTCTGATAATATTTTCTTCTGGAGAACGTCTTATTTGTTTTATTTCGGCTAGAATAAAAGCAGTTTTGAATTTTTTAAAGGCCATTTTAATGTCAACATTATTAGCCCCTTTAAGCAAATTTTTTTTCCGATAGTCTACAGAACAAACTATCATGTTTAGAAATGTGTTGAAGAAATCTGCTCTCCGTTAAACAGAACCTGAGGGAAAAATAAATAGGGAGGCTAATAATTTTTTTTTGGGGGGGGCTAATATCTCTGACTTCAACTGTATATATGTAGGTTTGAGTGCATGTGCAAGACCTTGAAATCATTGGTTGCTTCAGGGAAATTTTCAGCTGCGGCTCAGTGGTTAACAGCAAGAAGCTCTTGTTCAAGTCTCTGCTGGGCCAGTTGGCATTTCTGTGTGGAGTTTGCATATTCTCCCGTGTTGGCGTGGGTTTCCTCCGGGTGCTCCGGTTTCCCTCACAGTCCAAACACATGCGCTATAGGGGAATTGATTAACTAAATTGGCCGTAGTGTATGTGTGCAAATGTGAGAGTGTATGGTGTTTCCTAGTTCTGGGTTGCAGCTGCATCCGCTGTGTAAAACATATGCTGGATAAGTTGGTGGTTCATACCGCTGTGGTTACCCCTTATGAATCAAAGAGCTAAGCCGAAATGAATGAATGAATGTTGTTTACGGCCTTTGACTAAGATTTCAAGTGAATTTAATCCATGTGGGCACAAGAAATGACCAAATTTGCCAATTTAATAAAGATTGACTGTGTTTATTTATACACTCAAGCCTCAATGCAGGGTAGTTTACAATTGATTATTGCATTTCTGTACCTCAGTACTGTTTAACTCCATGGAAAACCACTAAGTACTGAGTATTTATTTATTTTGATTAATTTCTGTGATTGTCAGTCTAAATCTGTACATTCATTAGCTTATTTTATATGTATTATTGCAGAATTTTGTAGTTTTCTATGCAGATTTAATCACCTACATCATCATCGT